TCATTTTTCTTTTCCTTGGATTTCTTTTTCTTTTCTTCCCTTCTTCGTCATCACTGACTGCAAAGATTTGTGGGCCCACGCTATATGTATTCGATTATATGGCATCCAATTAGTCTCCTTCGATGATTATTAATTAATTCATTTCACAGGTTAAACGTACGCTAAATGATCTTATACTGAAAGATATTTATATGTTTGTCGCGTAGAAATGAAACTTAAATGCTTAGACACTGTTCCTGAGAACTCAAATTAGTAGATATGCCGTTAATTATTTTAGTAGTATTTCCGATCATGGAGACGATGATACGGCACGTATATTGACCGATGCAGAGATGGCGATCATAAACCCACGTGGTTCTCCTGAAACTTTTGATACATTCACTTTGACCCCATGAAATTTCAATACAAATGTTTTTTGAGGAGGAGAAAATCCATTTGGAAACGTGGAGATCGACTCGAATAGGATGAAAAACCAAGACCGGTCCAATTCAAGCAGGTGAATTAGACCGGACGGCAGTTCTAATTTATTGAAGAACGTGAAACCATGCACTCGCCGTAGAGCAAGTCGCTCGTACTGTTACGTGTCATACTTAGCAAATCGTGGGAGACACTACTTATATATGAAATTTTAATTAATTTATTTTAATAAGACAATAATAGCACGGCGATCACATAGAACACTTTTGGGTTAACAGATGGTTGATCTTTTCCGGATCATGGGAAATTGCCTCGAACGTGTCCATCGGGTATACGAGAGACGTGTTGGCAAGATTCAATTGCCGTTCCCGCACGCCTCGTGCTGCCAAGCGCTCGACAGCGAGAGATCGCTTGTCCTCCAGTTAAATATTTCCTATAAGACGCATAGAGAGTTCGACTGAATCCCCCAAGTAACGCAAGAAAGAGCCGCAACTCTGTCGATTCTGTTCCCATATCTTCTCCAAAACTCTCCAAACTCTCGAAGGAAGTCTTCCTAATTTCCTTCTGCAGAGGTTGGAGGAGGCTAACCGATCCATCCCCTGCCACTTCACGACCTTGCTCCTTGTTGAGTATGGGTTCTGCAGCTGCTACGTTTCTGCTGCCTGTTCACCTGAAGCAGCACAGCCTTTGTGTTGATCTGAAAAGGAGTCCCTTGTTATTCTTCAGCAAACCAAAGAGAAGAAGGCAGTCCACAGCTCCGGTATACTCTCAACTAGTGAATGGTCTTGAAGTATAGATTTCGAGATTCCTTCTGCTACATGGCTTTCAAATAAGAGAATCCATCTATTACAGCAACCGACATGTTTGGTACTTGCCCTCAGGTTGCGAGGCTATTTGGGCCATCAATATTCGAGGCGTCGAAGCTGAAGGTACAGTTCTTAGGGGTGGATGAGGAGAACCACCCAGGGAAACTCCCCAGGACGTACACCCTCACCCACAGCGACATCACCGCCAAGATCACTCTCGCCATCTCCCACACCATAAACCTTGCTCAGGTACCCGATTCAGCTATCTGTCTTCGTCTCGTCTGATATCCAAATCTGTGACACAGCTAAACCTCCCTGTTTCGTTGAGCAGCTACAGGGCTGGTACAACCGGCTGCAGAGGGACGAGGTGGTGGCGGAGTGGAAGAAGGTCCAAGGAAAGATGTCCCTCCACGTCCACTGCCACATTAGCGGCGGCCACTTCCTCCTCGACCTCATCGCCAACCTCCGTTACTACATCTTCAACAAGGAACTCCCGGTGGTACGTACGCGCGCATGCACTCGTCTTACTCACGCTTGCACCTCTTTGTTTTGCTGATGGGAACTTTTGCGTTGGGTATGGTGAAGGTACTGAAGGCGTTCGTTCATGGGGATGAGACCTTGTTCAACAACTATCCGGAGCTGGAGGAGGCCATGGTGTGGGTCTACTTCCACTCCAACCTCCCCGAGTTCAACCAAGTGGAGTGTTGGGGGCCGCTCAGGGACGCGGCCTCGACGGGCCCGCGCAAGGCCGGGGAGGCGCCCTCGTCGTCCTGGCTATGCCGTCCGCTGCGGTGCAAAGCGGACTGCGACTGCTGCTTCCCTGCACGGAGCTTGATCCCCTGGCAGCATGACTTCCAAGAAGTGTGCCGGGAATCCGCCGGCCAACCGCAGCAGTAAGAATTCGCCGGTGGCCTTATCATACAAAATCCGGTGAACGAGATGGAGATTCCATCCTTAATTCTTTGAATTGATGATTGTTTGTGTGAGCCTGCACAAACTACAGCTCCACAGCATGGTGTAATTGGCAGGTGTATCAATGGTTTGTAAAAAGATGATTGTAAGGAAGGCGTGTTCAATTAAACCAGCCTTTTCATTTGATTTGTTGCAGTTCCACGCATAAACATCAGGTTTCAAAGCCGGCGGATCATTAGAACAGACTTTTATATGTTCAATTATTGATCATTCAACCTCAAGCTTATACGTAAAATAAGATTTAGGTGGCCAAAATCGGATCAAGCACAAATGAAAATTCATTTCCTGCTTTAAGCTTTTGTTTCAAATCATTTGATTTTTTTATCTTGTTGAAATATTAAATTAAATTTTATGTTAGAAACGTTGATTATGAAAGCCTTTGTCAAATTAGGACAATTTGGTCTTTTGAATGACCAGTTAGATTGATATGTTTTGGTATGAAAATGATCACATCTCTTATATTTTTTTGCTATTCTGAATGGCTTGTGAGGTTGATAACTCCACCCCACCGTTTTCTGTCCACACAAAACGTTGATTTGTTTGCTCTTTGCGTGTCTATTCTCTCAATTCATCTATCGTACGGTGTTAACACATGAAAATCAGTGAGCTGATTCGTCGATTGGATTGGTTCGAAAGTATAGCTGATTTGTGATGATTTTTCCGTGCTAACAAGGAGGGTTGGCAAGGAGAGCTGGGTGATCTTGTATGGGGAGCCCACAGGGAGAGATGGTTCATCGAGTGCGATCCAACCCTCATATGGTGAAGTCAGGTTGATGAGCTGAGTCATCCTTACTACTAGGTTGCCTCCTAGTCGTGTCTTCGGATGATATCAGGGTCTTGCACAACAGGTCTGCATTGGGAGCATTCCGGTTCAATCCCTTTGATGTTTAAATCAAAGAGCTAAAGAGAGAGGTTAACAAAAGAGTAAAGAGCTCTTGCCCGCTTGTTGGTGCTTGGCTTGGGACAGACTTTTATACTTGAGCGTCTTGTGGCATAAACAGATACTCGTGAAGGCCCAACTCCTTACCTCACATGGTGGAGGCATTTACTGAGGATGACTTATCGGTATATGCCTCAGGGACATCGTTTGGGGTGGACTGTCAAGATGGCTCCTCCGATCTAATCCTTTTGCTCTTTGGGTTATGTAAGATGAGATCCCTTTGTCAGATCATACGAAGGGAAAAGCTTACGAAGCTAGGTCATGCCATCGGTTATTAACGAGGGGTCATGGTCCCTTCTCAACTATTGGGTTAGTGACAAGAGAATGTTACGGATCCAACAGGTCGGGATAGGCATAGTAACCTCTTATTGGATCTCTATCGGCGATTGTGAAGAATAGGTGACTCAGAGGAGGAGAGCTGATAGTGTCAGAATTATCTTACCATACGGCAAAGACCCATTGGTCATGTGCAGCATTAAAATTTGGTAGGAGAAAGTTGGACAGGCTTCCGGTTCCTGTAGATCTTCTTTACTTAGTTGATATTGAGATAAGTAGGAGTTAAAGAAAAAGTTACTTTAGGTGATCTCGATTATATATAGACATTCAAATGCAAGCTTGTACGATATCAGAAAATTTTATATTTTTATAAATAATAAAATAAAAATAATTTTACTTTAGCACATTGTTATTGAGGGTATTATGGCTTGCCAGTTATGTGATTTTTCTTTCTTGACTATGTCGTTGACATTTTTCAAGTAAAGCCATAATTTTCTTTTTCTCATCTTTTCCACATGTATTCTCAAACATGTAATAACAATTAGTTAACATGAGATAGGCATGAAAGAGTCATGGAAAAATAGGCTACACCTTGTTCCTTACCATTAAACCTTACCTTCTATTATATATATATAGTTATTAGTTAGATGTCTTTTAAAGATATTCAAAAATTCTAATCATTTAGGATTATATGTACATATTCTCATAAGCAATTCAGTCTTTTGATGGCTTTGGTTATATATAAGATATTGGTGAAAGCTGAATAATTAGGATATGATGATATGTATGAAGAAATTAACATATGTATAAAATTTGAGATCGAATGAGCGACCTCAATATTATCAGTGCTACGCTCTGACTAACTGAGCTATATTGTCATATTAATTAAAAGATTTGTATTATTAGTGCTATGCTCTTATATTTGGTTAATCAAATTATATCTACCTAACATCTAGTTAAACTTATACTGAACATGTAAATGTTTAAATGTTAAACATATTTAAATTTGTATTTATTTATATTTATGTTTAAATATCAAACGTATTTAGAGGCAAATAGGGTAAGGATTATCTTTTCTGCTATTCATCTAATTAATATTATCTTATATCATTAGAAATCATAATTTTAAATATAAATGATTTTTTTATAAAATATCTCATATTTATAATATTAAAGCCTCCAAAGTCTTTCAAAATAAACATTTATGTATCATTATCTTCTATATAAATTATTTGTATAATTAATCAATGTAAATATAAAGATAAGTCTTTTAATATATATTTTTATATTGCATGATTAACGTAGTTATCAAAATACTTTTATGGATAATTAAATTAGCTGGTGGATAAAATTGCAAAACTTATTTAAATACCATTCTCCAAAATTCATAGGCTCAATGCTTTCAGATTTCTTTAATTATTTATTTTCTTTTTTGTAATTATTTGTCAACTATACTCACATCCTATGTTGATGCAAAAAATTGTCATGGATAATGCATCATATATTTTCTCAGATCAGAAAATTTAGCAATTCATGAATTTAAATGATGTTTGTCACTACTTAAAGTCATTATTTAGGTGAACAAAAAATGAACATAGAGCACAATATGATTTATATAACTATGAAATGTAATACATTTAATTCATGTGGAAAAAAAAAACCAAAACAAAACAAAATAAAGCTTGACTTGCAATACATCTCCCTCAAGAAAACCTTCGGGTTGTATGCACCGAAAACGATCCTCACTCTTCGGTTAGGTAAACATATGGTGGTATATTTAGGGTGTTCAATCAGATCTCTGAGGCACTCTCTCTTCTATTTGTTTTCTTTCTTCTTCTTGTTTTCATTTATGTACATATTAATTCTTCATTCATGCCTAAGTCAGCACGAGGCCGGCATTAGGGTTTGCCACAAAGTATGCCAGGACTCCAACTAATGGAGCATTGATGTAGGTAGTCGGCTCGGATTTCCGGAAATCGGCACGATCATCCTCGTAAACGTCATCTTCGCCCGGCCCGCCGACCACCGCGCCGACGAGGGGATTAGGGTTAGGGTTAGCAGACTTGTAGTAGTCTGAGCCATCCTTGCATGCAATAAACTGAGGGTGGCTCGACACTGACGGCAACGAAGAACCCCGGTGGTGAATTCTCTGCGGGTATCGATCGCCATATCCAACCATATATGACATGTTCATGGGGTTGTCGCCTAACAAATAATCGACCTGACAAGAACAAAATGCATCCAATTTAGAACTCGTGAAAGCTTCTTCTCTTCTTTTTTCTTCCAGTAATTAATGTACCTGTTTCTTTGCTTGAAGCTGAAGGGATGATGGGTCAACTTGGATGCTGCCGCAATTCGCGGTCTGCGATGACTTGGAGAGGTACTTGGCATAGGTTAGGAGAAGGAAGGAGATGGAGGTCACATGCTGCATATTGCTACCTCCGGGCCTGTAGATGAGCCCACCAGGAGTGAACTGGATGTGTGAGGATGAAGACTCTGGAATGAGTGTACACATAAAGCTGTCGGCAAACTCTTTGTAGGATTCCAGAGAGAGAGCTTGTCCTTCCATGAACTCCTGTAGGCATCAAGAACAGAGACAGGGAGACACGATGAGTTCAAGGAGCTTCAAAAGTAGATGTGCAGTATGTGGCATTAGTTAACCTTGGAGACAAGAACATTGAGGCCGGCATGCTTGTTGTCCCACCCAAACTCATTGATGTTGTCATCTGCTCCGAGAGTTTTACCATTGTTTTGGATGTAGTCGAGGAAAGAGTCATTTTGTGAGGCCCTTCTTAGCCATGCTGCTCCCCATAGTAACTCATCCTGAGTCAATTGACCACCCCTTTAGATGTGGAAAGAATTCAAGGCCAAGGAATGAAGTCAACCCCAAAAATTTGAGGTCCTATGAGGGTTCAGTGACGATACATCATGCAGAATGCCTACATAATGTCTGAAACTATGACAACACTCTTCTGAGATGTGTGCTGCACTAAAATTTGGGAGTTGCACTATACTTGAAGCTAGGAAAAGGGTTGATCTTTTCCACTCACACTAGAATCTGACACCAAGAACATGTAGGTGCCACAATCCAGGTTGACTATGGGGTGGCTCTGCTGCAGACAGGATTGCACACCAGACAACATTGGCATGACTCTTGAGATCAGATCAATCAATAAGCCTTGGGGTCCGTCCTATGGTGCCAAGATAATGATGATTTTGGGGTCCTCATGACCGTAACAATGCCTTGGGTTGCACAGAACTTGTTCTGTTTGGCAGACAGAGCAGAGCTAAAACCTCACTTCTCATACTGCTGCATTGAAGCAAGAACATGTTCCAGAAAAATAGCAGCTCACTGTGGGAATTTTGCACCATGGGTTCTCAGCGAGGCCAAATGTGCATAACTTTACCCTGTTTGATAGACAAACTACAAATGCATGCATTAATGTCACCTCACAAATTGTATTCTTATTCGAGTATAGGAATTCCTCAAGATGATCTTTAATCATGTAGATCGGACCACTTTGGATCCACAAGTCACCTTAAGCAGCCCTTCACATGAAGCTTTACGATCGTACATGTGGTAAGTGAGAATCCAACACCTCCACCTCTCTATGAATTGACAGCCTAAAAGACAGAGGCAAGGACAACAGACAAGGTTGTACATGTGGCTGTGCAAATAGCCCTACTCCAAGTGATGACAATTAGTGGCCTAATATGCTAAGAATTTGCCTAATATCACACACTGCAATCAACTCACAGTATGCCTAAACAGATGAGAACGAAGAGAGCAGAGTGACTTGCCTGATACCCATCGAAGTCACAATAGAAGGGGCACACTCCAGCTTTGAGCTGCGGGTCATCGCTGTAAGCCCCCTTGTAGGTGTCGGCGAACTCGAACGCCCTCATGGCGTTCTCCAACAGCGTCTGGGAGTAGCCTGGATCAATGTCACGGAACACCATGGACGCTGCCGCCAATGCGGCCGCCGTCTCGCCCGCCACCTCCGACCCCGGTCTGTCTGCGCTCACGTTGTACACCGTCCGCGCCGTGTCCATGTCCTCCGGCCGCTCCCAGCAGTTGTGGTCGCTTATAGGATTCCCCACCTAAATGCAGAGCTTGGCCAAGTTTAATTGCTACTACGGTTTGCTGCTACTGATACCAGTGAAGCTGTGCTAGTGAGTTGTGACCTGAACGAAAACAAGGCCGGGGTGGGAGATGGTCTTCAGCAGGTAATCCGTGGCCCATCGGATGGCCACCGCGGCGTTGCGGAGCTCGTCGGTCGGCATCAGTTCGCCGAACTCGATAACGCTCCATGACAGCATCGTGGTGGTGAAGGCCATAGGGAAGCCAAACTTGACGTTGTCGCCGGCGTCGTAGTAGCCTCCGGTGAGGTCGACCCCGGCCTCCGAGCCGTCGGACAGCGCGGAGTCTCCACGCCATCCGGCTCTCTGGTCCGGGGGGAGCTTCCCGGACCTCTGCCCTTCAAAGAAGAGAATAGATTTGCTCAAAGCCTCATGGTAGTCATGACTACTTGCCAATGTCAGCGACACAGAAATCAGTAGTTGAAGAAGAAAGAAGGGTGTCATGACTACTATTAGCTCGGAGGGGAGTATACTTAAAAAGGCTAATGCACTGATAAGCTGAGTCTTACATGCATGTTGTCGCCTAGGGAAGATGACTCCAATATTTATACAATGGGGTAAAGTAAGACACAGGACGATCACGGGAATATGGGAGAGAGGACAAAGGGAGGGGGAGGTCAGGGAGGGAGGTGGTAACCGACAGGAATGGTGCTGTCAGCTGATCACAAGCATCCTTTGGCACGAGAGGCCACAAACTCGGTGGGGAGTGGGGTCATCGCCCATGGTGGAGTTAAAAGTGAGCTAAAGCCACTAGGTTGGAAGCACATTTGGCTTTGTTGCACAGCGGATTGGCTTATCGGGCTGTTTTCTGCAGAAGCTTGTTGGGTTCACAGGATCACTGCTGCTATGGTTCAGAGAGAGGCTCTTTCTTCTACATCGTTGGATATGATACATGTTAAGATCGGTGAAAAGAAAAGGTAGATTTGTCCCCTTTTCCAACATGATCAGCTGATTAAAATTGGGGGAAGGAATCATCAGACATGTACTGACACATGGATGATGCTGGCCCACTGTGTGATTAGTGTTTTTGGACGTATATAGCTGATATAGCTACTGTTCCACAGTTTAATTATATTGGGGTGCTGTTGCCTAAATCAAGATTGGTGAATCCATAAACTTTCAGAACATGAACTTTAGTACTGCACAAGTGATCCCATAAGCTTTTGCAGATAAGCCAATAGCTTCTCCCTTTTGCATCGGACACAGTAACAGCAGATCAGGCCACAGCAAAAGATACAAGGGATCATATGATGGCGCTTCATCAGCTCCTCCCTTTTGTTTCAGACGAAGTCAAAATAGATCGATCGAGCATTCCTTCCTCGTCCATTCGATATGACTCAAACCTTCCTTAATCGCAAATGGAATCTAAAAGATAGATTATAATAAGAAAGGAAAAGATTTCTGTGCACTCATTAATTGCAACGAAAGGCTAATAATGTTAGGGAGTGTGGAAACAACAAGGTCGACATATATGTTGTGGCATTTTCCGTTGCCTAAGCTTGGAGGAATGGCGGAAGAAGGAAGGTGAAAGAATTCAAAGCAAACACGGAGGCGTGAGAAGGAAGAAGGGGGCCACTGCCTCTCACCTTTCGTCCGCCCTTTAAGCCTCCTATGGCTTTACGAGGTATTGACGGGCTTTGCTTGAGTGAGCCAAAAGCATGAGATGCTGCTTCCCGCGCCTCTCTCTGATGTGTGACAACGTAAGCTAGACACAGAAAAGACGGAGAGACAACTGCATTCAACTTTTATTCATGAAGAAGCAAGCATATCGTGCTTTTAGTTAAACTCTTTTGACTGCTGATCCGAGAAATCTCACAAGAATAATGACTGCATGTCAATCGATGAATGTTATTGGCCAAGTAGGGGTTTGGAGTTGGAATTTTCCAATTCCTTTACATGGATATTGTTGGTGAATAAATGTACCATGACTGATGAGTCGATACGGCTTGGTCCACGAGTCGATGTCGGAAGTCTTTTGTCGGCTGAGCAGGATGCCGAGGGAGGCTGGGCCCTCTCGACAGGGTGTTGATCGATGTTCCTCGGTCCGAGCACCGTCTGTGTTGGGCAACGTCTTCTCCATCTCTAGGCTGGTCTGCAGCTTGCCTTCGTACACTAGATGGCAATTCCCAAGTTAAGACGCTCGTGGCTCGATGATGGCCGCTTTCCTACAAGAATGGCCTTCGTCGGGTGATTCCTGACTTTGGTCCCTCCGACAAGTAAGTCAGTTGTGGGTTGAATTGTTTTTATATTATTGTACGAGGGTCGATCGCATGCGGGTTCAGTGTAGCGATTGATCCTCGAGGGATGAGACGGTACTATGCGGCCGTTGTCCCGGGACGCGCGGGACAGCGTCAGACGACGCCGTCCCGAGCCTCCGGGATGGGACATGCCAAACAGTGCCTCGGTACGGATTCTGACTTAGCTTGTGGGGGTGCTCCTCTTACTGACCCAACTGTGGCGCGACGTGGTGTCGGTTGTGACGTGTCTTGGACCCAAAATATGTTTTATCAGATATAATAATATATTTTAGATTTTTAGGTATATATAAGCTAAATTTTGACGTCCAATTAGCTCGAGTTAGGTTTTGGTCAATTTAGAGTGAGATTGGGAGCTAATTAATGGATCGAGTTCGAGATATATGGATATAACTTGAAGGTAATATGACATTAATAAGGTATATCGAGAATCATTTATAGGTGAGTGCTGTCCCAATTATTGGCGTAGTGCATTAGCCCGGACTTAAATCGGGTTGGTTGAAAAATAATCCCCAAAGTCGATATAATTTCCAAAGGTGTAGTTTCACTCTCGACAGGCTTTTCGTTGTATAAGTGAGTCACATTGTCGGAAATAAAATTTCGATCAAACCTGAAAATATGTATTAAGACAGCGATTCGTGTCTTAGAATTTTTTATGTTTTTTTTTTCTCAATTTTGATCACACAATCTCTTAATTAGAATTAGAATTAAATCAGATTGTATCTCTTGTTAGTTTGAGTCGTTACCTAATTGAATAGTTAATAGTTTGGACATAGTTTTAATAAAAAAATATGTAATATGTATATATAATTTAGGAAAACATTAGATAATAAGATTTATGATATGATTTCAAGGTTCAAAACCTCTTTAGATTTATTCTTATTAACACTCTGAAGAACAGAAATACTTGCCATCAATATCTTTTGCTCAAAAAAAGTATATTTACTTTAAAAAGCTATAGGATGGTGGATATTAGAATTATTAATGATAAACCTCATATATGCATAAATATATAAGAAATTATTTTGAAATTTATGTAGGCAAACGTTTTACAGCATAAACAAACAATTGAGGTAGTATGCACTCTCCAAAACTAAAAAAATCATAAAGTGTTCACTAGTTGATTTGGTAAAAGCTTATTAGTTTATTATTGCCATATCATGAAAAAAAAAATTATAGGAGTAAAACATCCTTCCATAAGTACATAGAGTTAAATAAATGAATATCACTTTATTAATATGCATAACTTATAAATATTTATTATAATTTATTTATTTATCAAATTACAAGTCAAAAGTAATCCTAGATTATTTTTTTAAAATATAGTGATATTAACTCAAAGATAAATCCAACTAGTTTGGATCGGATTAGATTAGATTCAATTTAGTTTAAAAGATATGCTCTTAAATAGAATTCGATCAAGAATCATCCGTATAATTTGGATCAGATTAGACTTAATTTAGTTTAAACAAATTTAAATAAGTCAAACTAATTTAGAACCGCTTTGAATCAATCTTAACTAATTAAATTTGATTTATTTCGATCAATTTTTGAGCTCAAATTCAACAAAATAAGACCAATAGACTAGACTATATAATACTAAGCAAGGTTAAATCAGCTTACGTACAGGTAATGGGCACTATACATGACTATCTATGCACCATATTAAGTTGGGCCATCAATCCAAAGCCCATGAATTAGTCATGTGCATCACACATGACTATTCATGTTGGGCTGGGCTAAGCTAACTTATGGGTTAGGGTCTGACTTATGGGTTTAACCTAACTTATTGATTGGGCTTAGACTATAGGCTATGGCTTCACTTGTGGGTTAGGCTTAGCCTGTGGGTTATGGCCTGATCTACGATTTGAGACTATTGGTTTATTTCAATTCAAATCTAACAAATTTCCTTAATTTTGAATTACACCATTATAATAAAGCATATATTCATTAATAATAAGTCATTAAAATATAATAAATAATAATAGATTGAAATGATAAACTCTATAAGTGGAAATAGCATTCTAAATCAAGTATTGTATAAATCTAAAAATTAAATATCATGCATTCAAGATTAAAATTTTAGAAATATATATGACATAAATAATTTCAACATATTCTAATTCAAAAATAAAAATTTTAAACCTCAAAAGGGATAAAAAATATCTTAAAAATTTTATATAATATGTTTTTAATTTAATAATAAAAAATTAACATTTAAAGGAATAAAAATACTTCAAAACTACATATAACATATGCAACTCAATGTTTCTCTTATTGATAGACTTAACTTAGTGAGAAATAAAGGAGAGGAATCACTCCCATTAAATAGGAGGAGGTGAGCCATCTATTTAAGGTTTTTTTTAAAAAAAATTTCTTATTTATTTTAATATTTATTTTTATTTAAACTAACAAAAATAACATCACCCTATTTGAAATGTTGAATAGTTATTTTCTAAATTTTATTAGCAACCAAGAAAATAAAAAAAAGTGTTTAATTTGAATATTTGATTACAATTAATGTCCTAAATCAAACACTATCTTTATTATTTATCTTTACTAGAAAAAAAAACTCTAATTTTAAAGAACTAATATAAGAATAAAATTTATAATCCAAAAATATACGCATTAAACCCATCTTTAGTTTTTCATGTTAATATAGACCTAATGAAATTATTTTTTTATGCTAAAAATCAACCATTTGTTAATAAAATATATATTTTTTAATCATAATCCTTTACAAAATGTGATATTCATTGCATCTCTTAGATATTTTCAAAGGCATGTGTAAATAAGCGGAAGGGATCTCCCTCGAAGGAAGGAAGGGGTTTGAGAGGGGTCGGTGACATTAGAGAGTTAAGTAGGGCGAATGGATTAGATAAGGAAAAAAGGAAGAAGGAGAGATTTTATTAGAGCTCTCAAAAGAAACAAAAGGGTAAAGAAGCACCAGATTAATCTACTCCCAAGTACACGTAACATGTTGAGAGGCTTGGGAGGACGACGACATTAATGTCATAGTCTAGTCTCCAACAAGCATCAAGCTCACCAACAGCACAGAGGCAAGCTTTGACAAAGAGAAAACAAGCAAAGGGACAAATAGGATAGTAGCATTAAAAACTTATCTAAAGGAGGATGCAAATATTTGAACTAGATTCATCGCCAGGCCAAGGAACGGTCTTGTGAAGACCTGATTGATCTAGACTTCTTAGACCTGATAGATCTAAGTATGATCTAGATTCACCTAGTTATAATAAGGTGAGGCACTAGACCAAGAGTAAAACTGAGCTTCCGAGAAAGGGGATGGGAGATCTCTCTCTAAAACATAATGTTAATATTTATTGTCCATTGTTATTTAGATATGAATTGGATTTACACGGATGTCAGATTTAATGTCGTGAGTCATTTGATGGGCGGATCCAATTTCAAATCCTGCTCTACCTTGACTTGGGCTTTAGATTTAGATGACTAGCTTGCAATCTACCAGGCTGTTTTCGCCCTCAGGCTCGAGCCTACTTTTCATATAATTCAGGTTGCTTCCAATCAATATCAAGTACGAGACGGAGTAATCAACCCAAATATTACGTCAATCATGGGTGGCACTGATACAGATGGAGCATATTGGATTCAGCCGATACCACAAACCATGCACCATGCCAGGAGGAGAAGAACATCTGCATGCGGTGATGCGGTCATGAAAGCTACAGCTGCAGTTGACGAGCGTGAATGCCTGATGCCATGCCCTACCACCCAATCACCCATGAGCGCAATCCATCTTGTTTCTCCCTACCTGGTATCTTTTTTCTTCGACGCATGCAGTCTTACGGATGATGAAGTCACGTCCTTTTCCTGGGTGCCATGGAGGAGTCGGAGGAACTTATTTTGGGATCTCTTATGTTCATGCCAGCCTTTGGAGAAAGGCCAAGAGACTGTCCGGTCTATAGATAGAGAGAGTGCTTCGCTTGCAGCGCCAGCTACGTTTCAGCGGCTCTCATTTTGTCCCGGCGATCTGTGCGGACAATTCTGTCGCTTTGCAGCCCTCTCCCTCTCCCTCTCTCTCGGTTCTCTTTTGCTGTCAAGATCTGCAACAAAGTATATATTGGAGCACGTACCTTATGATCCCTTCTTTAGAAGGTCATTCGTCTATTCTCTCTCCCCTTCCACCTCCTCTCAGTTCTGGCGTAGCAGATATTTGGAGATCCCACAGGTTTGCCATTCTCTCTCTCTCTCTCTCTCTCTTCTCTAGGAAGATCCCACGTGGAACGATCGGTGATGGTGTTTGATTAAATGTATCAGTCAGCAATTAAGGAACTGCATCCACTAAGCACAAAGAAATCTCTGAATTGGTATTGGCATTGAACAGGGGAGGGATGGGAACAATCGGCCATGACGAGGTTGCGCCATGGGAGAAGGCAGAGGGGAGAAGGAAGGAGGAGAGGATACTGGTCTCGGTGAGGGTAAGGCCCCTCAATGCCAAGGAGATTGGGAGGAATGACCCCTCGGATTGGGAGTGCAGGAACAACACCACCATCGTCTTCAAGAACGCCCATTCCGAGCGAACAATGTATCCAACAGCCTACACATTTGGTGAGTGCTCCACATTGATTAGCTTTTCTCTTCCTATTCTGAACACAATTACGCATGTTTTGCACTAGTCTCGGAAGCATATTGGTGCACCTTCAGCATTTCGGTGAATGTGCATGATGATTCTCCCTGGCGAATGATTCTTTTGTCTTCATATTATGGAAGCAGACTGGGGGGCAGATCCCATGGTCTTGCCTTCATATTTAGGACTCTACGAAGGAATTCTTTTGTGATTCTTAGTTTCTGCTCTCCTATGACAAAGCCAAGAAAATTCATTTCTTGGATTATGCAGTTTAACATCCTGAGAATTCGCACAACACTATATGCACTGCAGTTTTGCAGTTTTTCGCAATCCTCATCTCCCTCTTGTTCATGATGATTAGACAAAGTATTTGGGTGCGAGTGCGACACGAGACATGTTTATGATGAAGGAGCTAAGGAAGTCGCTCTCTCTGTCGTCGATGGAATCAATGGTGAGCGGAACATTCTCTGAATTTTTTTGCCTGTATCAGTCTATTAACCTTTGTCCGAGTACTCCTCCTGATCAAGAAAGAGAACACTGTAAACTGAGTGTAGAACATGTTCATCGCAGCAAGTATATTTGCATATGGACAAACAAGCAGTGGAAAGACATACACAATGACCGGGATAACCGAATATGCCATGGAAGACATATATGACTACATAAAGAGGGTACAAATACCTGCACTTGCCTTCCAGAAACAATGCAGAGCACTTGTGCTTTCTGTAGTTATTCGTTCATTACTTCTTTCCTTTTTGCAGCACGAGGAAAGAGATTTTGTTCTAAAATTCTCGGCAATGGAGATATACAACGAATTGGTAAGAGATCTGCTGAGCACTGACACCTCTCCTCTCAGGCTTCTCGATGATGCAGAGGTAAAGCATTGCACTTATGGCTGTTGTATCATTGAATTCTTCTTGATGAAACAACAAGCATTGTTAGTGAACTTGCTACCTATCCTTCTCAGAGAGGGACTGTTGTGGAGAAACTTACAGAGGAAACTCTAAGGGACCAGTGGCATCTCAAGGAACTCCTTTGTGTGTGTGAAGGTACTAACCGAACATGTCTTGTTCATATCTTTCTACATTCGCATCTCCCACACTTTAATCTCCGTACATATGTATTCATCGCAGCACAACGACAGGTCGGAGAGACGTCCTTAAACGAAATGAGCTCCCGATCGCATCAGATACTGAGACTGGTTTGCCTTTGATCAGATGTTTGAATGATTTCTACTATCTTAACGGGGGGAATTCAGTTCTTTTCTCTATCTCAATCTGCAGACAATCCAGAGTACCGCTCACGAATTCACGGGAAGAGGAAGTTCAAGTACTCTTCTAGCTGCTGTGGTATGTGAATTCCCGTCGATGACTAACTTTCTTCTTCCTTTCCCCTTGAACTTTCAGATGAAATGGCAGCAAATAGGAGGCTAAGTTTCTTTCTTGTGGATACAGAATTTTATTGATTTAGCAGGAAGTGAACGCGCATCTCAATCACCATCTGCTGGTACTCGGCTCAAAGAGGGTTGCCATATCAATCGGAGCTTGCTTACCCTGGGAACTGTCATCCGCAAGCTAAGGTCATCGAAATGCTGTTATCCTATATCTTTCTTTCATTGAAAAGAAGGTCAGTGTCTCTCTTTAAATGTTGTCATTTACTGTGGATTCCACTTTCTTTATGCAGCAAAGGGAGAACTGGACACATTCCATATCGAGATTCCAAGTTGACACGCATATTACAACCCTTCTTGGGAGGTAATGGAAGAACTGCCATCATCTGCACAATGAGCCCTGCCCGAAGCCATATCGAGCAATCCAGGAACACTCTCTCGTTTGCAAGCTGCGCTAAGCAAATAGTTACCAATGCTCACGTCAATGTGTTGATGTCTGATAAGGCACTGATAAAGCATCTACAGAAAGAACTTGCAAGATTGGAGAATGAACTGAGATACCGTGGAGCTGCCTCCATCACGTATCATCCTGATGCCCTGAGCGAAAAAGATGCCCAGATCAAAAAGGTTGAGATAGAATCGATTTCTTATCGCATGGACTAGTTTCTTACACATAGACACATGTTTGTGATGATTGTAGCTTAAATTTTGATCTCGATCTCTTACCATGATTTCCTAGTAGCTTATTCATGATGAGTGTAATGCAAATCATGAAATCCGCAAAAGTTCCTCGACAATTCTCAACAGATTGCCTTTTTCTTCTTCCTGTTCTTTGTTTAGATGGAGCGAGAAATCAAGGAGCTGATGCAGCAGAGAGATCTTGCTCAGTCCCGACTTGAGCATTTGCTCCGACCTATGGCAGATTACCAATTTTCTAGGCAATGGGTATGTGTCCTTTCGAGCTGGAATTTGCGCTTACGAGTTTTTTCCTTGTTTTCTCCAACCTCTGCTTCTTTTCCTTTTGCACAGGAAGAATCCAGTCAATCTGAGCTATCCTATTTACACAGTGCATGTGAAGATGCACTTTCGATCTCCGATGTATCTGGTGTTACGTATCAAATTCCAGATTTTGACTCTTCTATGTTTGGTAGGCCGGAAGAAGGCAACAACTACAACATCTGCCTAGAGCTTTCGGATACCATGAATCCACCTAGCAAACACATCCCTCAACAGGGAAGGGATGAAATCACTGGAGCTGCTTATGCAGATTCCGAAGACCAATGCAAGGAGGTTCAGTGTATCGAGATACATGCCTTGAGCACAAACAGAAGCGATGAGTTCAATCTCTTGTTGAATGATGAAGATGATAGTCTGCTACATTTGACAGATGAAAAGATGCTTGGGGATCCTACAGCAGAATCTTTAGGAAATGCACACTGGATACCTGCAAAGGAGCAATCGATGAAGATCGCGACAAGAACGACCGAGAATTTTGTCAAGCCTCGTAATGATGGATTATCATCTACATTGCCTTCGATGCAAACACTGATGAATTCCAGGGAGTTGGGACTAACTAGAAGTAAAAGCTGCAACGCAAGCATGATGAGCAGTTCAATCGTGTCTTGGCTCCAAAATGTTGAGCGAGATAAAAGCACACAACCTGACATCTTAAAAGAGTTTGCTGAAAAGCCTAGAGAGGATCAAAGAAGACTAGAAAATGATACTCTCTCAATCGGAGAATCGGAGGACTTGGAAAAATCCACTTCCTTTGAAGTGCTAAAAACTGAGGATATCAAAGCTGTTCATGAAGAGGTTGATACCGGTGCTCATGATTCTTATTCAGGAAAGATTGAGACAGAGGAAACTACTGATCAGGTGTGATTCCAAATGTATTCATGGATTTACTTTTGTTCTATCTGCTATGGTATTACAGATTATTCATATGTTAAAATGCCTGTAGATGACTTTTGTATCGTAGATGACTTTTGTATCATTTATAACCTTCTCGTTCTGCAACTCCCTGCAGCTTACCGAGGATATGATTCCGGAGACTCAAGCAACTCGATCACAAACCATTGAAGCTGTGAAGACTGTTGAGGATGCAGCCATGGACGCGCAGGAGTTCCAGAGAGAGCAACAGGAGATAATCCAGCTTTGGCATGCGTGCGAAGTCCCCTTGGTCCACAGATCTTGCTTTTTCCTACTCTTCAAAGGCGACCCAGCCGACTCCTTCTACATGGAAGTCGAACGCAGAAGGCTTTCCTTTCTAAGGAACAGCTTCGCTCTTGGAAACGTTGGCGGCGTAGCGGCAGAAGATGGTCACATATTTAGTCTTGCGTCAAGGTAGGATCATTGTTCTAATGCTCATCTTTTTCCATCTTTTCTCCATGGAAGATCATGCATGTTCATGCTGTTGGCAGCTCGAGATATATCCGCCGGGAGAGGGAGATGCTGTGTCGGGAGATGCATAAGAAACTGTCGTCGGCTGAGAGAGAGGCGCTCTACGCCAAGTGGGGAATTGCGTTGAACTCCAGGCAGAGGAGTCTTCAGCTGGCTCAACTCCTCTGGACTCAGACCGACCTGCAACATGTGAGAGAGAGCGCATCGCTTGTGGCCGAGCTGATCGGATTTGAGGAGCACGGGCAGGCCATGAAGGAGATGTTTGGGCTCAGCTTCACACCACAGAAAACTCACAAGAGATCCTCCAGCTGGTGGCACGGCAAGTTCCCCCTCCTGTGAACGAAATGGGAGCTGTCCACCAGGGCTTAAAACATCAACTGATGACAGTCTTTTCTTGCCCTTTTTGTGACTCTTTCAGCAAGTAATTGATCAAACGAGAGCAAACACCGTCTTCCCCAACTCCTCCTCTCCTCTTTCTCGATCCCCTCTGCATCTATTCCTTGTACAATTCATGCCCATATCCTACACATCCATATCTGTGTTGTTGAAAGATTGTCTTCAACTTGCATTGGCAAAATGGAAAATTGATAATAGAGAAGAATAAGATCTGCATTCGTCGAGGGACAATGAGAATTAGAAACCATTTGTGCATGCATGAGATGTTGCCTATCCATCTTATCGATGGAGAGCCCACACTACATGATGATTAAAGCTTTCATCGTCAACAAGATGTTGGTCTCGTACACCCCTCATAATAGTTTTAGAACAATGTTTGATATCTGCAATTACTTTGATACCGGAGGAGCTGTCTTTTGGCTTATCACTACAAGATCTGCTAGTTCACTGTAAAACCGTGATTAGAGTCTATATTGATCAGATGGACGGTTGAAATACGACCATACTATAGGGGAGAATAGGAACCGTAAATGAGTTTGAATCAAAGTATTCAAAGTAAATATACATTTGATCTAATACCAATTTGTTTTGAAAACTTAAAGTCATGATAATAATTAGGTTTATTACAATACATCGATTTAGTGATGGATATGAGAGCAGCACCACAAGGAAGGATGAAGAATGTAACATGAGTTACATTGGCTGAGAATGTTGTAAGAAACTTTTGTGCCACCACCTCCTAACATCTGATCTACAGTTGGAGCATTTAGGTAATCAATAGCACATGTAATAATGTTGATCTACAGTTCATTCACCGCATTTTTTTCACTTCGGTCTGTGTGTGAGGAGAAATCGAAAATTTCTTTTCAACGAAAAGCTTTTGTGGCTTTTTGAGAAATCTGATGACATTTATTATGATCATAGTATGGTGGATTCGAAACACCCGTGATGAAATGTGTTCGATGATAGAATTGAATCCTAATTTTTTGATGATTGATCCAGTCATTCTAATCGAGTATACTTCGTATCCTTTTCGAGAGCTAGAGGAAATGCATTTGTAGATACAACAAACAGTTGGTATGAGAGGATTAATGCTGGATTCTCGAGGACAAATTATTGATCTACTCGACCAATTTACAGGTCACATAGATTGCTCTTTATAAAATTCTTTTCGATATGCAAACGATTTCTTTGTTGCTTTCTTCGAGGGATTGAGGGAGGTGTAACACTCCTCAGTTAATCCTAATATTATGGATCCGTAGATAAAATGACTCGAGAGTGTTCTTTTGTCTTAAGAGGCAAGAACGAGTGTTTTTTTAAAATTAATTTACCTTAGGAATCCTATAATTTTAAAAATAAAATAAATAATCTCATCTATGCTAACATCATCAACTCAACTGTATTGACGGAAAATGCAACACGTCGAATCGATACGAAAGTGATAAGCAAAAAGATAATTTCAACGTCCATTCGTTATTAGTGATTTTATCGATAAAAAGATAATTTTAATATCTCAGGAAACAGAAAGGATATTAAAATTATCTTTTTGTCCATTATTTTTGCATCCATCCAACATGTGATATCACATGTTGTATTTTTCGTTAGTTTATAGGGATCATAATATAATTTTTTTAAATACAAAGATTATAATACTAATAGTATCTAAGTATAGAGGGTAATATGTAATTAGCCCTATCTTAAACGTTTCTAATATATAGATACTTCCTCTTTGTAGATTTTTGAATGCACTAAATAGATTCATTCTCTCTCGTGATCTTTTGGTGAGATTATAATTAGTCATGTATATGGGAAATAGGGGAATGAATGCACTTCATTTACTTAATTTAATATAGTTTCTTTTATTAAAAATATCTTTGGGAAAGATCTGCTTCGATTAACCAATTAAATTTGAGTTAATTTTGTGGGCAATAAAACAATCAATTATGTGGAACTACTTGGAATAGAGTATGCAAATTATAACTGGTAAATCAAAATGTCCTCTTTACTATTTTTTAAAATTAGTTATTTGCATTTAAAAGAGAGTAAAATACATTTTCATAAAAGAATAATCAACAAAAATAAAAGATTGCACGATTCTTCCTTATGACTTCATCGTGACGTTGAATGTGACAACGCATTCGATGCCGGGGTCGACGTGGTCAACCAGAAACAATCGAACGGTGGTTGTATTTATGCATGCCGATTTGACTGACACAACCAGTTGACGTCTGGACTTACTTCTCTGACTTGCAGATTCGGGTAAACGTTGACTTAAAACAAATAAAAAGACTTGTCTTTTAAATATCTGTGTTCTCATATATATATTTTCTCCAATTTCACATCGATCCATATTAGTTCACGTCGCCCTTTAAGACCTGCCGTATCAGTTCACATTGATCCACTGGATGTTCAAAACATTTGTATCCCGTTCAAAGGTCAAACATCTAAGCAGGCGTCGCATGCGTCGTCAACGCAATATTTTGACAGGGAAGGAACCTCCGAGATGGCTACCAGCAAAAAAAGTATATGCTTGTCATTTAGTGCCAGGACAAAGATATGATACAAAAGTGAACCCTGTCCATCGCAAGATATGATACCGAGTCATCCAACAGTATGGTGGTCTGTAACGTTAGTATCGGAGATGTAATAAAAGCGAATGAAACAAAAATATGACAAGTTTCCAAATTTGGTAAAACGCAGAGACTCCTGACGTCAGAAGTGACGTCATACGCAATCCATACTGCTTGCGTGTGAGTCGAGACCAACAAATCAGCGACCGATGATGTCCCCACGAATCCAATCGCAGCCACCAAAGTCTTTTCGACTGGTTCATCCGACGTCTGCGTGTTCTGCCACCTCAGCGCTAAGTATTCTATTCCGGCTATTGAGCATTATTTTCTTTTTTTTTTTTAGCTTCTCTTGTAATATTTTATATTCAAAAAAGACGTGTTGAACGCGCGCTCACCGACGCGCCGTGTTGCCGGAGAGAAGTCTCCTTCCTCAAGCACCATACAACGATGTTCTCCACTCGCCGTATTCCACGTGTCTGATAGTCAGAATGACGACGCAAAAGACGTGGCCTCTCGCCGGAGCACATGTTGTTTCCTGCACGCTGCGGCGACAGGAGATCCTGAACCCTCCTATTTTACAGATCGCCCCCTCGGCGTTTCCATATTATCTTTGGAGTACGGTTGGAGACCCCTATTTAATAAGTCCCTCGTCGTTCCCTCTTCTTCCGCTCCTCCTCTTCCTCCAACCGCCCCATTGCCGCGTCTTTGACCTCGTCCGCGTTCTCCTCGCGAATTAAACCCTCGAAACCTAGCGATCCGATAGAGAAGAAGGCGAAGAAGAGAAGGGGAAGAGGCGGCGGCGGCGTCGCGCGGCGGACGTGGAAGAGGAATGGGCCAGTGCCACGGCAAGAACATCTCCATCGGCGGGGGCAGAGGACGCCATCGACGCCGGAATCCGAGGCACCCTGACGATGGTGGGGACGTCGGAGATGGCAATACCGCCACCAACACCCCTCAGCCCGGGGACAGTGGCCATGTAACCCCCATCTACTCGTCCTCCTGCTGGCCCAGCCCATACACCCAGGGCTCCGCCAGCCCATTCCCGGCCGGAGTCTCCCCCTCGCCGGCCAGTTCTACCCCGCGGCGATTCTTCCGCCGCCCCTTCCCGCCACCGTCGCCCGCGAAGCACATTAAGGCGGCGCTCGCCAAGCGCCTGGACCCGGGGAGGCTCAAGGAGGGGACCACCGCCGAGGACGGTACGGGGAATGCCGAGAAGCCTACGCTAAATAAGAACTTCGGGTATGGAAAGAACTTCGGGTCCAAGTATGAGCTCGGGAAGGAGGTGGGGCGGGGGCATTTCGGGAATACGTGTTTGGCTAAGGCGAAGAAGGGGGACATCAAGGGCCAAACCGTTGCCGTCAAGATCGTCTCCAAAGCTAAGGTGCGGCTTCATGTGTGGCGTAAATATTCTCTTTTACCTTTCTTTTCAGTTTTGATTGTGTCACTACCTAGTACTTCTTCCTGAAAGAATAAGGAAGTGCACTGTGCAGAGCAATTGGATTCGTCGGAGGAATTCCTATCCGTCTTAGCGTTTGATCCGTTCTTGTGTCATGTTGTTTGCATCCCTGTATGATTGATGTTTGTATTATATTTATTGACATTCTTGTTGGATATTTAAGTACGGGTTTGATTGGGTTTTTCCTCAACTCTGCAAATATCTGTGTTATGAACTTAGAAACGGCATGTTAATTTAATTGACAGTTATTAAAATAGTTATCTTTTTCTCTCCTACGAGACTGATTTTTCTAAAATCAGATAATATCAAGGTTCATAATGTTGCTAAAATGAGGATGTTGAGATGGATATCTGTGTTGATACTAGAAATATTTATATTCCTGTACATTTAGACATGGTTTTGTTAGAAGATAAGATATTGAAAACCCTTTAAGATGGCATGGATCCCAAAAAAACCTAATAAAACCCTGGTTAGAGATGAGGTAAGTTGAGACCTAAGAAAACTTATTTAGAAATGATAAAATAATATTTAACTGCTCTTAGTTTGACCAATTTTATTACCTTAAACAATGGTCAGTAGAGACCAATATAGCTGATCTCAGATAGTTGGAACATTACATCTTGTTGTTGTTGTCATTGTATCTTGTGCTCGTTATATATTGACATTATGTGGCATGCACATGAAGTGATAAAATAAATATGCTTGCAGCAGTGTCATGTCAGTAGGACATAGCATACCGAAACTTCTGAAAACTTTGTGAAATAAAAGAATGCTGTGTATGACCCTTCTAAGCCTTAACATATACCTGTTAGCTGACTAAATTTATACCAATTTGCTTAAAACTGAATCTAAAACACGACAAGATGAAAGCTCATTCCATGTCGAACTAACTTAACCTGATACCAAACTGTACCCAATTCATGATGACTTCAGTTGATATTTGGATGTTGATTCATGTGAAAAAAGAGCGTACCTGGTGCTCTAGGCTCCCGCCAATGCGGGGTCTTTTGATGTTGTATTCTTAATAGGTCTTTTGTTTCCTTTTGTGGTTTTTTCGTTTTAACTTCTTTGCCCTTTTATGTGCTACACATGGTTTGTTTTTTATTAACTACAATGTCGAATTTCAACAATTCTTTTACATAATCGTATGCTTAACATCATTTTTATGGCAGATGACAACACCAATATCAATTGAAGATGTTAGTAGGGAGGTGAAAATTCTGAAGGCTTTGTCTGGGCACAAAAATCTTGTTAAATTTTATGAAGCATGTGAGGATGCCCATAATGTCTACATAATCATGGAGTATGTCTTATTTATTTCCTTTTCAGTTTTCCTGTAATGTGGTATGATGAATTGGAAATATCTTATTCCTGAATTGTGCTTGCCATGATATTTCTGACCAGATAAGATTAAATAAATTTCCTTTGACTTTTGATTCCCATACTTCAAAACAAAAATATCCAGTAAACATTCTTTTCTAAATATATGAAAGTTGTAATTCCTTGGATCTGTCGAAAAATGCAGTATTTTAACAAACCCATGAAATTGAGGTTTTACGTGAGATTTTTTCACCATACCTTTAACTTGATTTCTTTTTCATATCTTTTACATGATTCTGAATTTATATTATTATGTGTGCTTTTCAAGCCTGTTAATGAAATTTGCTCATGTTGTTCGGTATTCACCATCTTTCCCTGCTTTTCTTTCTCAGATTTTGTGAAGGTGGAGAATTATTAGATAGAATCTTGGCCAGGTAATTTAAATTTTAATTTTAGTCAATTTGTTAGCAAGAGAAGGTCCATATCTTGTTTTAATTGACTCGTGGACTTATGAAATTTTCTATTTCTGTATTTCCAAAGAGGTGGAAGGTACACAGAGGAAGATGCCAAAGCAATTATTGTGCAGATGCTGGGTGTGGTAGCCTTTTGTCATCTTCAAGGTGTTGTGCATCGTGATCTAAAGCCAGAGGTCTACCTTGGATTTTATGCTTGATGCTCTGTAGTTTGCATATTAATGGAAATTAGTTGTGCTCTGTCTTCTACTAATTCCCTTTTCTATTTAACTTGTATTTGTTGCTGATGTTTTCTTCTCTTCTCTATGTTGTGACAGAATTTTCTCTTCACCAGTAAAGATGAAAATGCTGTTATGAAGTTAATTGATTTTGGTCTTTCTGATTTTATCAGACCAGGTAACAAGTGGCTGTGAATGTTGGCAATTTATTGTAATATATTGATGCATTCATGTGTCTTTTATACTGAATCGGGACAGCGACAAACATGAAGATAGAGTCTTACTGGAATCGTCTAGCTGAAAATGATTTTTCTTGTGTATGTCAAATCATATGATAAAAGTGATGTTCGATAAAATATTTCCTGAAGTTGATTTCAAAGTGTTTGGCTTCTATAGTTCTTAGGGGCTGAAGAAGTTCTTCAGTGCGATTGATTTAATTCTGAAACATATCTGCTAGCCATTGGTACCTGCATCTTTATATTCATAGTGTGATTTTGATGAAGGTTAACTTCCATAGGTGTTCGGAAGCAAAGAAGTTAATCAATTAGTTCTTTGCTAGCAATTGATGCCCTCATCTATTTCCAAGTTCTTCTAGATGCAACTTCTTCTTGTGTACAGCTTGTTTTCATGGTTAAATTTAAACCTGAATGGCAAGTGTTTTCCTTTTGTAGTAAACATGGACAAATAATAAGTTAAACTAATGATACTTTTAATCTTGTATTCTGAAACCCTTACATAAGTATGTGGAGCAGCTTGTTGTACAGAGATGCTATTTCTCAACTTTATGTTGGAAATTTATAGAATTTATCATAACATCATTAATTTTTGTTCTGGAAATTTAATTATCAAAAGTTTGAACTACACATCTAACAAGTATCAAGACTTCTAAGAATCAGTCTTCATAAACAATAATTGGTATTGTACCATAGTATCAATATATTTTTCATGCTTCATACTTCAAATGCTTAGATATCAATGGCAAAACAAGTTGGCCAAAAGATGATAATGTAGTTAAAAGCTGCTGCCCAAATCTTTTTGCCAACTTTCCAGCTTTACATTAACTGCATATTCAGTATGCTTTGGTAAATTAGTGTGCAACCTCAGCACAATGATTGTGTAATCTCTACTATTGTTCATAAATTTTTACCTGATTTGCCTACTCCAGTTCCAAAAGTTTTCTCTATATACTTGATTATGGTATATCAGCTACTATCATCACCATTGTTGTACTTGATTTATGTGTCGCCATATTATATTTGATGCTCAACAGAAGTTTCCAATCTATGGTCATGCAGATGAAAGATTAAATGACATTGTTGGAAGTGCATACTATGTTGCACCTGAAGTCCTACATAAATCATACAGTACAGAAGCAGATATGTGGAGCATTGGTGTTATAGTTTATATTCTATTATGTGGAAGTAGACCTTTCTGGGCACGAACTGAATCAGGAATCTTTCGTTCTGTTTTGAGAGCCGATCCTAATTTGGATGACACCCCTTGGCCTGCTGTATCCCCAGAAGCTAAAGATTTTGTGACAAGGCTTTTGAATAAGGACTACAGGAAAAGATTGACAGCTGCTCAGGCTTTGAGTAAGTTGCTTGCTCCATCAAATGATAACCTGGTGGGCATTCGTTGAATGTTAAACTAAAATATGATATGATTTTCTTCATATCTTTTCTTCTGCAACATTAATGCCTTTGCACTTAATTTGTTTTGTCATAATTCTCCAGCTGAAAACAGATATATGTTTTTTTATGTGGCAGCTCACCCTTGGTTGCGAAGCGAACAAACACAAATTCCTTTAGATATGCTTATATATAAGTTAATCAAATCATACCTTCGTGCCACACCTCTAAAGCAGGCTGCACTAAAGGTACATAGTGCTCAGATTTAGATGCTCACTTTTATACTTGACTTGCTAGTTTCAGTTTGTTACAAAGGCATATTGTTGCATCAGTCATTCCTCATCTGTATGCTTCACATTTTCAACACAGACTGTAACTTGTAAAGAGGTTATACATTTAATGTTAAGGTAGAATGCTTGTTGTAAGCCACTGGTAAGGCGTGGCGGCAGCTTGATCTTTTTATTACAATTGTGTTCTAAGCTGAACTCAAGTCCAAGAAAGCTGTTTAGTTTGGAAATAGTCTGTAATGCAAAAAAGCAGATTAACTTTTTCATTGAACTTATGAAATATAAATTATAAAAAATTGCTTAAAAATAAAAAATTTGTGAATGATTAAATGGGGTCACATACAGAAGATAAGTTGTCGAAAAAATGGGGTTTCAGACTCGTGTACACTCATGCTTTTTTGAGCTAAGATATGGGTGGCACAAACAGAGGTCGTATGGCTTGTGGGCACTCGTATAGTGATATTTATTTTAAGACAGTAAATCAAATCTATAAAAAAACAAAACCAAGTAACTAAATTAGCATCCAAGCAATGTTATTACTGGCATGCATTTTAATGCTGCTTAAAAAACTTGCTAGCAATCTAAACTTGTTCTAGTTTATACTTTTTTTTCTTTCTGTATAGGCACTATCTAAAGCTCTAACTGAGGATGGGCTCTTCTATCTACGATCACAGTTTGAGCTACTAGAACCGAACAAAGATGGGTTCATCTCCTTTCAAAACTTTCAGAAAGTAAATTTGCCTTTTAACCTCATTGGCATTTCAATCAGATTAATTATGACTTAGAAGGCTAGATCTTCATATTTCATGTTATTTTTCATATGTTTTTTTGTAGTGTTCCGTTAATTTTGTAGTGTTCATATTTTTCAGGCACTCATGGAAAAGACAACTGAAGCCATGAAGTTGTCCGGGGTTACTGACATTCTGAATGTGGTAATGCATCTAGTCTTATGCTATTTAGTAGTATTAGATTAATCTTCTGGTGATGTTATCATTTATGATGTTAAGACTTAAGATCATAACGGGAGGTGCATTCTGTCTTGCTTCTCCAAACTGTTGATACTTTTGCTGCTAGTGATAAATCTTTCTACATTGAAAACGCAAAGGACACTGAATTTTGTATGATTCAACACTCAGTTGGAGGCACTATCATCCAGAAGCATGGATTTCGATGAGTTTTGTGCTGCTGCTATCAGCCCTTATCAGCTTGAGGCTTTGGGACAATGGGAGCAGATAGCCACCGCAGCATTTTCATACTTCGAAGAGGAGGGAAATCAAGTTCTCTCAGTCGAAGAGCTTGCGCAGGTACTGATCATTATTCCACAATATAACTATACATGTATATGTAATTATGTTAGAACCTGATAGAACTGCTCTGTCCAGGAATTGAACATCACCACGACTTCTCACTCCTTTCTGCAAGACTGGATTAGACAAGAAGATGGCAAGCTCAGCTTTCTTGGATACACCAAATATCTACATGGCGTAACCATCCGCAGCGCAAACGTGAGACATAACTAAATCCTGCGATCCCCTGATGTAATTCTTTGTTCATTATCTACCCCATCTCTTCGTTTGTTATTGTTGCAATTCTTTCGATCCTGGCTTTGTAGAGAATGCCTGCAGAGAATAATCTGTAATGAGACCCCAATGATTGATGGAAGCTCTGCTTTCGAAGGGATCAATACAACTGACGTTGCTTTGTGCATTGAAGTACCTGAAATGTATGCCATTGATGCCTTGATAGCATGTATTATGCTGTTTTCCTGTACAACGAAGTCTCTTTGATTGAACGAACTACAAGTATGTTTTCAGATTCCTACAAAAGGAGTTAATTATTTCTCGTAAGGCTAAAGAACAAGAATAGAATCAACCTCTCATAACTCAAGTAATCAAAGTTTCAATCATAAAATAATTTCTTTATTTGACAAGATCTTTGAAAGCCCTCTTTTGCACTGCCCTTTAATTCTCGTTAAATAATCTTATGATTCACTAGTTTTTCTTCTTTATTTTGGGAAAATCTTGCTGGAGATGATGTTCGAGAGTATATAACTTTGGTGTTTTTCTGATATTAATAGGTTCTTATTGTTTGGAATATCTAAGATACAAGATAATATGACCCATATAAATATACTATATTATATTATATATATATATATATATTTCCTTTGAGATGATTATATTCATATATTATTCGAGACATAAAGACTAAAAGACCTTCAACTTGATCACAAAAAGAAAAAAAAACATAAAAAATTAAATTACCGAAGCTTTTACAAAAGCCTCAGCTACGTAGGGTTTGAACTTTTCAAGCCCTGAAGCACAGGTGAAGGTGGCGGTGGCCTCCGGCTCCGGCGGTGGTGGAGGAGGTGTCGCGGTCGATGATGCCCTGGACGTGGCGGAATTGCTCGACGTGGCAGGGGATGGTGATGGCGCCGGTGTGGTGGAATCCGTACTCCTCCTCCGCCGCCCGGAGCAGGGCCACGAAGAGCGGGTGGTTGAGGTACCCCACCGGCACCACGAACCGCTGCTGCTCCTCCCCCGCGCCTCCGACCCGTATCGCCATCCATCCTTTGGGTGGTGCCGGCCCGCGTCTCCCCCCTCCACCGGTCATCCCCCGAGGCGACAAGTGCAGGTACACCCCCGGCATATCTATATCTCACAGTTCTCCAAGAGCTACAGAAAGAAGCAAAGCAATAGAGATCAAAGCACGTAGAAAGAAGGGATCAGGGACTAGATGATGAGGATGATGGGGAGGGCCATGGATCGGAGCTGTAGACGGCGAGGTGGAAGATATTCAAAGAGGAATCGCAGAGAGAGGCAGGAAAGTTCGACATCTTCGAGGGGAAGGGATATGTAGTGGCAGCAGTAGTAGTAATAGGAACATTAAATGGTGTAGCTTGGAAGACGACTGAAGCCAACTGAAGCCCGACAGAGAAAGCTCGCAATAAATGTGCGAGACAAGAAGAGGGCGTCTCTGTATGCACGAGATAAATAGAGAGAGAGAGAGCACAACGGCTAAAGGGGTGAACACACTACAGTGGCGGCCATAATAAATAATAGTACAGAATCTTACACATTAATTAATTCAATATAGTTAGAGTTGGAGGATCCTCTCGTTTTGTACATTCATTCTCGCAAGTTGCAGCTATGTATTTCGTATAATATCCGTGAAATGCAATGCAATGCAATGATTGAAGAGCATCTCATCAAATCAAAAAGAAAGAAAGAAAAAAAATTCCCGTGATCAACTTAGCTTTGGTGGATATTTGTTGAGAGCAGTCTTTGAATAGTCTTCATGTAACACATGTTTAAATTTGGATCATTCCCACTTTGACTCAAAGGTTTTTTTTCCCTTTATTTTCTTTTTCATCTTACACATGTAGGTGACTTTATTCATTTATTTATTTTTTTTAATATTTTATAAAATTATATATCAATATTTTTTATATTTAAAACCTCAATCTAATAGTGATGTATCATATTAATTTATCAAATTTATAGATTTAAAATATATTTTTTTAATTAATTTAATTGATAAAAATTTTGGTGATGTCACGGATGACGCGTCCCTCGCTAGCGGCGACGTGTCACTTCTGGACTTGTGCTGACGTTTCCATGTAATCTATGTTGGATTTGCGAAATATTTTTCTACTACTTTTGTTTCGTATCTTTTGTTTCTTTTGACTTGCGACAGACCCCAAATGATAACAATTTTACTATAAATCCTTCGAAATGCCGCAAGGAACATGAAAGAAACATGAAAGAAGACGAGGACTGCAATTACCAAGGGGCTTTAGTAGTGCAAAGATTTGATGTTGACTCGTGAAGAGGGAAGTCCCAAGGATCGAAGGCATAGAAGAAGACCACAAAGCACTCTTTTCATCGAGAGAGAGACAACATATAACGTTACATCCTTTTATGTCGCTGGAAATTTTTAGTGGATTTGGCAAAGAGGTACCATATTGATGGTATATGTCTCACATTGATTAGTTGGGTGTCATATAACATCAACCCTTTTTAGGCTATATATATATATATATATATATATGTGTGTATATATATATATATGTGTATATGTATATATATGTGTATATATATATATATGTATATATATAATATATGTGTATATATATATGTATATATATATAATATATATACGGATGTAAATAGATATCTCTACAAAACTTACGACGACTTCATAATTAATCTATTTCAGCTTATCATTAGAACAGAGATGTTGTCGTTCGATTGGTATCACTGCCCTTATAGACATTCTAAATTTTTTAACTCAAACTTGCTATTAATAAAAGTGATTAAGTTAGTAGTGATGACTTGAGATTTTGGATGAATATAAAAAATAAAAAATATAAGTGAATTATTTGAAAGCCATATATGCTATTTAGAATTTATCAAAGCATATTACTGTATTTTCAGATTTTAAACGAATAAATGTAAAAAAAATCCCTAAATAGAATATGTGGACTAAAGCAAAGTGAACTAGTAATTGCTGTTAAAAAAATTATAGATTTTTTGGTCACATATTTTATGTACATGATATTGTCATTTTGTGGGCAGTAATGTTGTCTATGCCTAGTTTGAAAAGGAATCTCAACCACCATTCTACCAAATACCTAAAATATTTTATGCATTCAAAACATTTTTTATTTTGGAGTGAAACTATGTGTTAATCTTGAAATTTTATTATGAAGTTTAAATGGTACTGTCATGGTCTAATTACCTGACATTATGTTGTGCCCAATCAGAACCATCAAGAAAAAAACATTATGCAAATGATATATATATATATATATATATAT